TACCGTAGTCTAAAGATGGTCGATTTTTTAACCAAAAAGGCAAAGTTAAAAGATACCTGGCAGAATGGAGTCCTCATGGTCATCATCAAAGGTCTGTGTCTCAAAGGCTTCAAGGCTCATAGCTGCATCGTTCTCTGTCAGTTCCTGGGAGAGCTGCCCCTTCCTGGGTTTGCATGCATCAGACTTCACCCACTGATGACTGTGGACCAAAGGGAATCATTCTTGAGAGCTGTCTGTTATCCCATAATCCTTCCTACCAAATAGATTCCCCCCTCCTCACATTGGGTCTTTCCCATTATACATCTAAAAACCATCAGCTAAGAAAAACAACCCAAGAAAACTTGAGCAGGCAAGCCTCTGGTGACAGTGCTCCATGGTACACAAAGAAAATGGCACAAATTGAGCAGCCTTAAATTGAGAATTCAAAATACTCCCAAAACATTTTGTGTAACCATGAAAAGCCACAGATGGGAAATTCCACACCTCATGGGATGATCACAATTAAAATGAAGGTGCACTAAAAATATTATATAAAAACTGTCCAGGGTGTATATGAAGCAACTGGATTTCCTGTTTCAGACTTAGTTTTGTTCCCAAGTTACCTCTTGTGCATTTAGTCACCCCCATGCCCAAACTTGATCTAAAGATCAGGAACTCAAGAGATCCGTCTGCCTCTGCCTCCTGAGTATGGGAACTCGAGGTGTGTACCACCATGCCTGGCCCACATATAAAGTCTTAGAAAACCCAAAATGACCACCAGTGAACCACATCTGAAACATGTCTCATTAAGCACTCTGGATATGGAGCAATCAACCCGGTATGCAGCATACTGGGTAACGAATGGGCTCCTGCTCACCTGTTTAGACAGATAAGTGGGTCAATATTGTGGCACACAGTGAAAGAGCAAGCACACTGTTGACACAGAAATGCATACACGAACAAAGAAGTAATTGCCAGTTTAGGATACTGGTCCGCTGGCAACTGAGTGTCTACCAAGGGAGCAAGTTTGTTTACACTTACTTGACACAGTTTTGGGCTTCTGGACAACTCTGAATCAGGTTGTGGATGACTGGATGAGAAAACCCAAAGAACTCAGCACCACATGAGAGTAGGTTAGGCATCAGTTTCCCCCTAAGCAGAAGAGAGAGAGCTTTAACTTGATGAGAGCTTAGTAGGAGATGAAGACAGGCTTGAGAATGGAATGGTGGTATGAACAAACACCACAATTGAGCTTTCCTAATATACTCCAAGGCTAGCAGCTAAGGAGCCTGAAGGACATAGCTTAGGTTTCTATAAGGCACTGAGAAAGAAAAGGTCTCAGCTGTGCCAATGGTGATCCCTTTAGTGTGTCCTCAAGCTGGTGGCCAACTTACGTTGCATTACTGATGGTCCTGACCAGTTCTTCATAACAGGCATCGGCAGAAGAGCTGACGATGGTATTCTGGGGGTCATCTTCAGGAACAATTTCAAACTGAGAATGACAGGAACAATGAGGTCAATTTGTAAGGGGGAGAAGTAGAGTTGTAGGACTCCTACAAACAGTCCCAGGCTCCAGAGCTGAAGCTGCTGCACATGCCAGGAGATGAGCACAAAAACTTCTTACAATGTCGTTAAAAAAATCACACCCAAGTAAACAGAAAATCCTGTGACTTTCGATTCTGTACATCTTGCTTGACTTTGGTCAATGGTCAGCACTGAACCTGTTCCATACCTTTCTATTTACAGTCCAAGTCCAAATACAAATTGTATTTTACAGAAACGAGATACACTGTTCTGTTACCCTTTATTTCTCTGGGAAACGTAAGAGTACCTAGAAATATTCTTGGCCAAAGGATACTTTCCCAGTTTTTACTGTGTGTTTATTTTTCTTCATCTTTGCTAATACTGGATATTATCAAACTAAAGTCACCTGATGTTGGGGGAAAATTCAAGCAAAATTTTATCATAAATCAATCCTATTATACTTAAAATAGAATCTTACTTGATTAGTGACCTAAGAACATTACATTATTTTTTCTTTTAGCATTTTGTCTTTCAGAGGAAATTAAGAATCATTGTGATTTTCCTTAAAATTCTGAGACCCTGATTGGATATGCATTGCATTTAGAAGATATTGAAAACTCGGTACACTATACAATGGTAACTCTGCCTATTAGCACACTTGCTGTGGAACACACTCTGTGGTTGAGATGATGTCAAACACCAGTTCCACCTGCAGAGCTCTGACAGTGATGCAGTTCTCGACCAGGTTAGGCAGGCTCAGGTTCTCCTACTCAAGGGTCCTTGCCATGCCTCCAGCTCAGTTTTCTTGATTGGCAGCTGTATCAGAAAATGAAACAAGGAACTCTGAAACTGCTATTTTTGCCTGAGGGTCCTTGTATCTTAGCCGAAGCAACAAAGATATCAAATATCTTCTCTGTATGAATTTGCACTTAACCTAAGCCAACTTGTTTTAGCCTCAAACAGTAATAGTGTGTGTGGTAAAATTACTATGGCTTAAGGGAAAAGATATCACCTAGAAAATTAAATACAAATCTGTATCCCAGATCAAACACCCAGACTTACAGCTGTGACAGAGCTTGCCAGTTTTTCTGCATCTTGGTGTTGTACAAACGGTGATTACAAGGTATCTTATAGTGTGTCAGAATAAGTAAACAGTTAAAAAGCCAAGGATAAAAGGAGGTTCTCAAAACAGAAAGGAAAAAAGTATAGAAAGAAAGGAAAATAAGCCTACTGGCCATGAGTACCTGAGGCTGCACACCACCATCTTTGACCTGACAGGTATACAGACACTTCTGGTCTGGGCACTTCATACTGGCAAACACTCGAGTACTGCAGTAGCCCACAGGGTAGATGGCACTCTCATCATGGAAGCCAGGTCGGTTGGTGATGATCTACAAAAGATTCCCCAATCTGGAGTTGAGGTCACTTAAGGCTTTACTATGGTAGCCTTTAGAGCCACTTTGGGGCTGCAAAGAATGACAAATCAGAGAAAGTGATGGCTGTGAGCAGACAAAAACTGACCTGGTTTTGTAGGGACTAGAGATTTTCTGGGGCTGGTATGGATCAGCAAAGGGTTGCTGCCAGTGGGAACAGGGAAGGCTCAACCCCACTCCCATGGTTCTGATTATCCTGTCTATATGCTGGTCTCACTCACCTCCCCCAGGCTATATACTGTTAGACCCCCTAGTCCGATGGGGAACACAGGCCGTCCTGAGGGATCCAGGGCAATGGACCGAACCAGCTTGCGAGCACCTCCCTCCATTTTCTTTTTCTTGGATGTTTTCTTCAGAACTGAAACGCAAATCTGGGGTCACCCACTTTAGGTCCCTTCCATTGACAAGGGGAGAGGAAATTTACATGTGAATGGTAAAGGCAGAAAGATGCTCTTAATGATGGCATTTTATACCATAAAGCCATCATAAGTTGAAAATACTCTAAGTTAATACATATAATATACCTAACTTAACAAACATCATGGCAACTGAGTACACTGTGGAGTAACAAGTGTTTCCACAAGTGTGTGTCTGCATAGATGTGGCTTGATGCCATTAGCTAATATCAGAGCATCACACTGCATATCATTATCCTAAGAAAAGATCAAAATTCAAAGTTCAATTTTTACTGAATGTATCCTGCTTTCATAAAATTGTAAAATTGAAAAAAGTCACTAGTTGAACCTCTCGCTGGAACTGAAATACTATTTGCATTCACTAAATAGCCATATGGGGCTTGTCCCCCATAGCCCAAATATCTAACTTTCCTACTAACAGTAACCACTTTTAATATAAGCACAGCAGTGCTAAAAAGAATCTTACATGTTTAAGTATTCTTCAACTGTGCAACCAAGAATTGCTGAGCTAGCAGTGTGCTCAGAGGGCCGGCCACCCTGCCTCTAGGAAAGAGTGTACTGAGTGAAGTCTAGTGACTGCAGGGGCACAAGATGGGGGTGGAGGCCCCAGGCTGCTTATCCCCATCTATGAGGTTAATCACAATCTCTCCAAAGTGGCTCCAATAAGATATGGGCTTCTCAAGGGACTTTAGGGCACTGTAGGAAACACTGGTGGCCCTTTGTGTGAACTAGTTAGTCTACTAGGTCTTTGTTATCAGTAGAGCCACTGAAGCAACGGATACACTGTCTTCTTAAAATACCTTCCAGTTTGTTGTTCTCTTTGCCCTTCTCTTTTTTCTCCTTCTTGGATTTCTTCCCAAAGGGTTCCTCAGCCCCAGTGCTGGGTCCAGCTCCCTGGATAGTTCCCACAGGGCCGGCCACACCATAAGCCAGGGGCAAACTGGAGCTGTGGGAAGGAGCAGGAGCCTGTGGTTCCCCTTCAGTCAGAGCCTGAAGCTGGAGGAGCTTCTTCAGCAAATATCTGAGGTGGGAAAGGAATGAATGGGAGGAGAGGTGTGAAGCTCTTTATTCTCTTCAATTTATAACTTTACTAAGTACTGGGAATTGAAGAATTATATACAAGATTATCACACTCACACAATAGGGTTCTTATTGGAGCTTGGAGATAATGAAGTGCCAGAGGATTATCAATACTCAAGAAATCAAGATAATGGCTAGAACTTCACTAGAACCAGCTGGGCTCTTTTACCTTCCAGGTAGAAGGCCTTAGGGCATCTGAAGGGTGTTCATATGAATTAGAGGTATCCACATACTCACTTGCTTTGCATAGGGAAATACAGACTGAATATTTGTAGAATGAGAAGCAGCATTTTTTATCCCTTGGTTTTCATAACTGGGAAGTGATAATAAGGTAACTTATTACATGTAGCAAGAAGGCTCTGACAGAAAGATGAGAGGAAGAACTGTTGTCATCAGAGCCCAACTTGAGGGTGAAACACCACAGGTTTAGAGTTTCTCTGTATTGCCTCCAGTGGCCAAGGGGTTATGCAATGTGCAAGAATCAATTGGCGAAACAACAACAACAACAACAACAACAACAACAAACTCCTTATCAATCACTAATAACAACAACAACAACAAAATGAAGCTAGCTTACCTTCTTTCTTCTTTTGCTTTAAGAAATTTTTCCTCAAGACGAGCAATTTCATCACAAATAGCAGCATTTTCCTTTAAGAAAAAAATGGACTGAAGTCATATAAAATGAATTTAAAAATGAAGCTATTTTCTGGGAACAAGATCTGTATCACAAACAAACAAACAAACAAACAAACCCCCTCTGGGCTTCGGGATAAAAGGGAAATGCTATTCTGCTCTGTGTACAAGCTTCCAGTACATCTTTACAGGGCTGGGAGATTGCCTAGCAGGGAAAAGCACCTTCTATGCAAGCACAACAACATGAATTTGATTCCCAGAACCCATAGTGGAAGGAGAGAAATGACTCCTGACAGTTGTCTGCTAACCTCTACATGTGCTTGGTACCACACACGCATTAATAATAAAAAGAAATTTCTTTAAAATAATCTGTAGGGTTCTATTGCAGGCAGAGTAATTACATAATTTCTTATCCAATGAAGGAACATGTTTCAATGAACAGGGGCACTTTTAACACGGGTGCCAGAAAAATATGGCACACTGGGGTTTGCATACATACATTTCGCAAATCAAGGAATGTGGCCACTCCAATTAGTGTAGCCTGTGGCCGAGAAAAGGATATACTACTTAGACCCAAACTTACATTACTACAAATTTCTAAGGACTAGCCATGTTCACCAGCCTTGACCTTGACAAGGACCATCTAACCCACAGTATTTGATAGGACAATACCTTAGAGAGAGAAAAAGGATGAGAAATTAAATAATGTGCAAAATCTTTAGTATCATCATTCCTTACTTATGACTCAGTCTATCTTACAACCAATTCTGAAGGAAATGCCCATTTGAGAGCTTTCACAGGTGGACCCACCATTTCAATGTTCAAAACATCCTCTGGCTTCACAAAGATTTTCGTACTCTTAAAGGAACCATCATCCTTAAGGAACAAATTTTAAGCATTAGGTAACTCTGACATGAAGTGACAAAAGGGATTAGTAAATGAGGTGTTGCGTATCTTGATTTACATTTCTTATTTATCTCCAACACACATACAAATGTTAATGCTTTAGGAATGGCAGATTTAAGGTCAAAACTTTGCCTGATGAATCTAGAAGGCCTAATATGTTTAATTGAAATTTTATAGAAAGAAGAGTTAAACCACCAATTCAGATGTGTGCGAGCATTTGGGACGTATACCTATTTCCAAGCACTGAAGTGACTCTGGTTAAGCCAGAATAGTCTAATTATTAGGCTTATCACACCCTAATAAGTCTTGGTTGGCAAAGCAGTTCATTCACTAAATCCGAAATCCCTACAATTAAGGCAGGAAGTGGCAATACACCTCAACAACAGACAGCTGTGTGCTTTCTTATATGATGGGTTCCATTTCCAATACCGGGTAGAGGGAAGGCAGAAACACCTTAGAAGCCTCGTCAAAGGGAGCTACAACCCGGCATTTCTGAAAGATTTAGGGGCCTGTTTAAGCAAGGTGTCAGCCATAGTGTTGGGGTTGGGGTGTACTTAGGAAATAGGCTGTGTAGTGTGAATGAACTGTAATCAGGACATTCAAGCTGGAGTCGGGGCAAACCATCTCTCAGGGTTGACACTTATTAGCTCGTCTAGAAAATGAAACGTAGCAAAAAGGTAATGATGACAGTTTACTGGCGGAGCACTTTGCAGTCCTCATTTACAAAGGAGTAGAAGGACTATAGAAACTTATAACTAATTCACGGATAGGGGACTAATACGTGATGAAATTAACGCTGGACTGACACTGTGGGGAAAACAGTCCTCAGGGGGAGAGTGGCTGAACCCAGACTCACAAACACCGTGGCCTTGGCCGCTTTACGCAGCCGCAGGTACTTCAACCGGTACTTCTCGTTCTGGCTCTTCTTCGGGAGCTTTTTCATCCTGGCCTTGTGGGACAGCGGGGTGCGCGGCTCGGAAGCCAGGCCGCCTAGCAGGCTCATGATCCGGCCCCAGCTCGGGGGCTTCGGGCCGCGGGGGGCATGGAGGGGACGTAAAACCAACTGGCGATCCCTAGCACTTCCGCGTCAGTATCCAAATGCAGCCCCGCCGGAAGTTGCGCAACACCATAGTCACGTATAACTTCCGGGTTTGGAAGCCGCGGGTGGTCCGGATCTAGCTGAGGACGGGGGGGGGGGGGGGGGCCTCGGGGGGGGGGGGGGAGGAGGGAGGGGGGGGGGGGCCCGGGCTTCCCCGGGGGGGAAGAGTTGGGTAGAAAGAAGAAAAAAAAAAAAAAAAAAAAAAAAAAAAAGAAAACGAACGAAAACTAAAAAACCCCTCAAACAAAACCCGTTCCCGCTGTCGCCGCGCTCAGGCGGTGCCAGGCAACATCAGCTTTTCCCAGTTGCTCTGAGCAGACTTTCTTGGGTTTTAGGAGACTTGAGTATTAGTGCTGGAACTCAGCTTCCAGTTTATGCTACTCTCACAAGTGTCGTGAACTTCGGGGATAGGAAAAAAAAGACAAAAAAAAAAAAAGACGACCTTGATTGTCCCAAAGCTTGGGATGTAATAAGCAGTTTTAATAAAATGTTAGCACAAAGTCGGCATTTAGTGGTTTTTGAATGAAACCAAGAGGGTTCCTATGCACATACCCTCCAATGTTTTTTAATCGTTTAATCTTTATAACTAAGGTCAGTTGAAGGATGGACAAATATTTAAGTGTGAGATCGCCCTACACCCGACAGCAGACTTAAATTCTTTTAGTAAGTGTCACAAAACCAGTTGGGTGAGCCTCTTGTACAGTGTTTTTTTTTAATCTCTGAAAACTATATAAGTAATGAGATGGGTGGGATTTCCAAACTAGTGTCCTGAAACAAAAGGAATTGCTGTTAAATTATCAAAATAAAGACATTTAAGGTTGTACATGAAAGTTCAGAAAGATGTTACATAATTAACCAGTTCATTGAATTACTAAAGAAAAATCCCAAGCATTGGTGGCAGATGCCCTTAATCCCAGCATTTGGGAGGCAGAGGCAGGCAGATCTCTGTGAGTTTGAGGTCAGCCTGGTCTACAGAGTGAGTTCCAGGACAGGTTCCAAAACAATAAAGAGAAACCCTGTCTTGAAAAAACAAAAAAACAAACAAACAAAAAAGAAAAATTTAATACTAATAAAAACAACAGAATTCAGTAAGTGACCCAGGTACTCTTGTCTCTGAACGCTGTAAAAAACAGTTGCAGCTTTGACAAAATGGATTTTGTTTCTTTATTTTGTTTTTCAAGATACCACCTCCATCCTGCCATCCTGTGACAAAATGGATTTTAACACAGAAAAAGCTTGTAGATATTCTCCTGTAACTGCCCAGGTTATAAGCTGCTTTTGGTGGATGTGACTGTGTCTAATGGTACAGCTGCAGGTGCCATTTGCTTTCACTAATGTACCTAAGGCAGCTCTGTAGTTTTAGTTTTGGAAGCTGTCAGAATTAGGACAGTCTACAAAATACACTGTCTCTGAAAATATGTACTGGAATCTTATGTGGGACCCTGAAAGAAGTCGTGCTAATCACAGTTGATTTTATTCTTATTAAAAATGTTATTTGCTATCTAGCTGTGTTTCATTCTGTTAGGATTTTGAGATCTGACTTTATTTGTATTATTCATCTTCTTCATGTCTACCAGGAGGAAACTCCCAGCCTTCATTTTAATCTGCAGGCTGTTTTGGACTTCAGTGGAATATGCACAAACGTGTTTATTGTTTCTTCTTCATTAGAGACTTCATCTTTTACAATTAACACACTTTCCTTGCACATTTTGTAAATCAAGATGGTATTATTTATTTGTTGGCTTTTAGAGACTGGGTCCTTTAAACTCATTATGTAGGGGAAGATGACCCTGAATTCCTTGTCCTCCTGTCTCTCTTTCCCAAATTCTGGTAAATACATGGCATTGACAACAGTGTCCAGCCTAGGGAATTTTTCCATGGCCTAGGGTATAACTCAGTGGTAGAACACTTGTCTAGTAAGTAAAGGGCCCTGGGATTGATTTCTATCACTCCTGAATGAATGAATGAATGAATGAATGAATGAATGACAGAGGACTCAAGTTTAGTTCTCAGCCACTGCCTCCTTTGGCTCACAAAAGTCTGTAATTCCAGTCCAGCTCTAGGGGATCTGACATGAGCACTTGCACTTGCATGTGCAAGCCTGTCCCTCATAATAACTAAACTCAACATAACTAAAATTTAAAAGAAAAACAAATCTTTGAAAAAACAAAAACAAAAGAAACCCATTATTTTGAGCTTGATCCTATTCATATTAAACTTTTGACCAAAACCAAAACACACACACACACACACACACACACACACACACACACAAAACAAGAAACCACCACCACCAAAACCAAACAAAAACAACATAAAGCCCCGGAGAAACCCATAATGCCACCTCTCTGAATGAACCACTGTTAACATTTTAATATGTGTCTGATATTCTCACAAAGGTTAGACCGCCCTGAATACAATGTTTCTTTTTGGTTATTTGTTAGCATTTTTTTAAGGGAGTTATGACTTCTTTGAAAGCACGGTTTTATTTTGTCTTACTTTTTTGGGTGTATATGTGGTATATGTGTGTGTGTGTGTGTTCACCTGAGTGTAAGGGCACATTCACCTATGTAGGTACACATGGAGAATGGGAATTGATTTACTGAATGTCTTCTCCAGTTGCTTTTCCATCTTACTTTTTAAGAAATTTTTTTCTCACTGAGTCTGGAGCCATATTGGTTAGACTGGCTGGCCGTTGAGTTCCAGGAATCTGCCTGCCTTGGCTCCCCAGTGCTGGGGTTATAGGTGTGCACTGCCACACCTGGATTTTTAGGTGAGGGGTATGGATCTGAAATTAGTGTCCAATACTTGTGCAGTGAGAATTGTACCCTGGGAGCTATCTCCTCAGTCCTGGAAGCATCATTTAAATGTGTCTTAACTGTTCTAGCTATGGTTATATTGTCTTTTGCACAATTATTTCTATGTTGTTTGACTTTTTGATCAGTTTGTGTGACACACATCTCTGTGGCCAAGGCCTTTTGATATTGGACTATGTAAATGAGTTTGTGTGTTCCAAAGCATGTGATGCTACTGACCAACTTGTTCTCTTACGAATTTATGAAGATTAGGGCCTACTATAACACAACTGTTAGAAAACTTAATTGATATAGTATGAAAGCTTATTTCTGAAGTAGATTTTGCTTGGTATGGCAACATCCATGTAAGGAAAGAGGGAGAAAATAGGAAGAATTCTTGAAGGAGCTACTCCTGGACACCCTAAAGTACAAGGGGTTGTTGATACAGTAAAGGGTAAAGAAGTGCACCATGGAGGCAAGACTGCATGTCCAAATACCCAGTGTCATGAGAAGCATAGGTACTTGAGTAGCTGATTACAGTGGAAGCTGTGTGCACCTATTACGGGCTTGCCTTCTAGCATCTAGTCTTGTGGAAGGAAAGAATTCAGTCTAGAGACACAGGGTTTAAGTAGGAGTCTATTCAGCAATGCAAAGCAAGCCCTCCAAAGAGACTGAAGTGGGCTATCCAAGGGTGTGTGTATGGGGACAGTAGTTCAGAGGGTTCTGTGTTATGGATTTTAAAGAAGTTACAGGTGAGTAGCATCTTCATGGAGTCATGTCTTGTTTTTCCTCCCATTACCCATTTATGGTATTTCTTCCCATGATCCTCTAGAAATATCCATGACAGTGGTGACTTGAAGGGTGGGGGACAGGAGGTGAAGGTGAAGGAGGAAGGGAAGGAAGAGGAGGAGGGGATGGCAGTGTTATCAGAAGCACAATGTAAGTGTTATTATAATGAAGCTGAGATCTTTTGAGGACAGAGAAACTTGGCTAGGGCATATCTATAATAAAGTGCCCTGGTATTTTGGGTTTTGATACAGTAGGAACTACTTATCAAGGATGTCTAACTGCAAAGACCCATTCTGGTAGTCAGGAGACACAACTACTAAAATGCAGCTGCATTTTTGATGATGTTGTTTGTTTTGGTCACCTCATATCTAATTTCTATTTGAGGCTTCTCAAAGTGCCATGACTGATATCATGTCTGTCTGTCAGTTAGGAAAGTTATGCTATTCCATAGTGCAGCCATGCTGTTAGAATGAGTTTTAAAGTAGTCTGTTAAGTTGTACAAACAAGAACGGATTGGGCTGTCTTCTACAGCTTGTTTCTCCCTGTTCCATCACTCATGTCTATCTTTTTACTTAATGGGGAAGCAAGAAGAGAGAGTGAAGTAGTGGGCTACGGTGTGGATCATGAAAGGCTCCTGTACTCACTGAGCAGTTGATCTTTTATTAATGACATAAGACTTTTATTAACGTCATCGGGGAGCATCTATAAGCTCTTGGCTTGCTTTAGGTACATTTGCCTGAATTTGTCAGAAGCAACCTGACTTTCCTACTTACCTATATTAAGAAGGATCTAAATGGCTTGTGTAAAAATTCTCTCAAGATATACATAACACACAGTAAAAAATATTCATTAAGAGACACCATGGTACTATGGGTAGATCACAGTCTATGGAATCAGAGCAAACCTTTGGCAGTTAGATGCAAGTATAGAATAGTGAATCATAGAATGTACACAAATGGATCAATGTGGCTTTTATGTTTAATATTTATTTATTTATTCATTTTACTCATTTTTAATTGATTTGCATGTGGATATCGGAAGCTAACTTGCAGGAGTTGGTTCTCTCCTTCTACCATTTGGGTACCAGGATTGAATGCAGGTCATCAGGCTTGGCAACAAGCCCCTTAACCTACTGGCCTTCAGTTGTTGGCTGTAAGTGAAGGGGTAGTATCCCTTGAACTATTAAACCTTGTGAAAATGATAATAGTCCACAATCTGAGACCTTGTGGAAAAGAAGTTTCAGTTTCTATAATAAAAAGTGTATTTGACCCTGAAAGATTCTGCTCATGGCCTATACTTTTGTCCTTACATCTCAAGAGCAGATTACAAGTTAAAGTTATTTCTTGTCTCACTTTGCAGGCCTTGGGAGGCTTGGCAAGGATGAAGATGACTACAGAGCAAGATGAACAGGCAAAATCAAAGTGTTTCCAT